CAGAGAAACAGGACAGTGCCCGAGTTGGGATGAGAGCCCCGTCCTGTGCTTCAGGGCTTCTAACCGGGGCTTAGTACAGTCAGCAGCGTGTCCCAACGCGAGGAGTGAGGCCCTCGAGCCACAGCTGGGCATTCCCTGGAACAGAGGCCTGTTGGGAATTGCGGTGCGGAGGTAGATCCCTCTGCTCCAGGAGGCCTTGCCGGTGCCACACGACTTCTCCGAGGGGCTGCACCTCCCGTCCTGCCCGCTGAGAACCAGCTGCCTCCTCTCTCCCTCCCTTTCCCAGCCATGCTCAGAGCACTGGACTTTGTCCACGTGGGTGTCCCCAGGAGCCAGGCAGGTAGGAGCCATTCCTTATTCACCGGGAGCCTGTCCAAGGCCGTGCGGAGCCGGGAACTCCCCAGCTCCCAGCCACATGCTTGGAGCTCACCTTGCAGCTCTTGCTTCTAATGCATCTTCCAGGTCCAGGTGGTCTGAAGCACGTTTAGCTGCAAAGCACAGCTACCCCTTGTCCTTGCTGGGAGGGCTCAGGGTAGCAAGGCAGGGTTTTGACAGCTCCATCTCCTTGCAGCCTTCATCCAGAGCTCCTGTCGGGGAAGATCACATGCAGTTAAGCTGGATTGCTCCCAATTCCCTCCTAGCAGAAAATACAAAACCCACAGGAAGCTCGAGGACCTTGGCTAGAGTATGATCATGGTTTCAGTAGCTGTCCCGCAGTTAAGCTGGATTGCTCCCAAATCCCTCCTAGCAGAAAATACACAACCCCCAGGAAGCTCGAAGACCTTGGCTAAAGTATGATCATGGTTTCAGTAGCTGTCCCAGAGCAAGCTTTGAGGGCCACCACCGGAGCGCGGCCGCTCATGACAGCCACATTCCCTCAAGAACAACCGGCCTCGTGGATCCCGGTGCGGATGTGCACCAGGACCTCCTTGCTGCAATGTCCTCAACCCCACAGGGTGCAAAGAGCCCCAGGGCTCCCATGGTCCTGCTGCACGTCAGGTCGGATGAGCTCTGTGTGACAGGGTGGCCTGGCCCTCCCTGACGGCGCCTGAGCATGCACAGGGAACTGCGGGATTGTTATTGCATTGGAAAATGTGCCATCTCTTCCCAAGAAGGCCTGGATGGAAGCCTGGATCTCATGGGGAAAGGAGTGGTTGAGGAAAGTGGAGCGTTTTTGGGAGCCCCGTGTATCGCTAATGGCGTGGGGGGACCTCCTCTGTTTGGACAAACTGGGATGGACAGAGTCTCCTGGGGCCTTGCTCCTTCCAAGCCCTGGCATTTTCTCCCCACAGAAATGTGCAACCAGAATTGTTTTTCTTGGATTGTATGTGGGACTGTAAGGGATCTGATTTGTACCCAGCTTGTCTGGAGCAGGAAGGCTAACCCAGTGTCTCTCTTCTGTCTCTTTCAGATTCCAAGGGATCCTTGGAGCCGCACAAACCAGGTTAGTGCCCCGCAGAAATGGCGATTTTAACCCATCTCCTAAATATCAGCAATTAAAAATCAAAATTAGGAGAGACTTGTAATGGCCACAGGGAAAAAAAGAGCATTGCTGGGATGGCTGAGGAGTATTGCAAGGCAGAACTTGGCTAAGAGACTCAGAAAATGGTCCCCATCGATGCACTTTTGGTCATTTCTGAGGGCAAGAGATCGACAGGGATGTTGAGACCCACTTGTGCTTCTGGCTGTTGCCTCTAAAATTGGGCAATAGGTGTGAGCATGGTGGCTTTGTCACGTAGCCTTGATGTGGCTGTGCAATGCAAGAGGTTCGGGCCCTAGCTTAGTGCTAGGTCTGTGCCACAAGGTATTTTTTTACTGGATCCAAACTCATTTGAGCTCTGGAGGCTCCAGGGCTCTCTTCGGTTCCTGCATATCCGTAGATGAGGCAAAAGGACAGGGTCATTGATATGGGAGGAGGGAGTCTGTAGAAGAGCAGTTGGATTGAGTTTGGGTGGATCTAGGCCTGGCTAGCTGGTAGCTGTGGGCGAGAGTATGCTTGAAGGAAGAAAGAAAATGTGTGTAGCTCACACGTGCATCTTCTGTTCTAGCAAAGAGCAAGAAGAAACGGGAACTGAGGATACCATGTTTCACCATCAAGCAGCCTGTTGCCAACACAACGTAAGTGTCCCCACTGCTTGAAACCAACTGTGGTTCTCCAGAGCATCTGGATTCAGAGTGGGCTGATGGGGAAAAAGGGGAAAGGCCCTTGTAGATTTGACAAAATCAACATAGTTAGGGTGTGCTCAAGTTACGGCTTGTGTGTGATGACAAGGAATTACACACACTTGCACACCTGCTTGCACGCATGTACCCAGGGAACGCCTCTCTGGGAGGCAGCTCTTTGCCTAAAATAGCTGAGGGGCAAAAACCTTGCTGGGAGATTTTCTTCTGTCCTGCTTCTGCAGCTCTGCTGATGCCAAAGGACAAAGGCTTGGTGAACTGGGACAGAAGAGGTGAATGTTTTTAGTGCAGGGGAAGAGACGAGGTGATGTCAGCTGCATTGAGGCAGGTGTAGGATGAGGAGGGTTGGCAAGAGGTCCTCTATGGCATGTCACCCTCCCTGTGACCTGTGCATCACTCACAGCTTCCTGTCTTGTTGCAAGGACAACACAGAGCAGCTCGAGGTGCTCTGCCACATACTGCTTGTTGCCAGGGGCCAGTGCCGAGCTGTATCTCAGGGCATTGGAATTTGTCTGCCCTGTTTGTTTCATGCACTGGATGCTTGTTGTGCTGTGGAGGAGAATCAAGTTTAGCAGCACTCGGTTTGACAAAAAGCAGACAATTCAAATTCCTCCTCCATGTGATGTTCCAAAACACCTTGGGTTGTGCCCCACTGCTGAGCCTTTTTTGCTCCAGAAACCTTCTCCACAGACCATCCTTGTTTCAGGAGAGCAGTAAAAACCTCAAAAGGGATCATCACTATCTAAAAACACAGACAGGACAGATCCCCCGGGGGGGAACACTCCCCCATTAGGACTGTCCAGTATAGCCTGCGTTCTCCAAGCTCTGCATGCAGCAGCCACCTCCTTCCCCCTGGGGCAGCATCTCTCTCTCTGCTGCTATCACTTTGAATTTCCCCTGAAGAAAGGGTCACACCTGAGTTTGCTGGGCGCTTGCATGCCCAGAGCACCGCTGAGAAGGTTCATGCCAGGTATCCACAATTTCTTTTCTCTGAACTTCCCAAGATGTAATGCAAATATTTGCACAGTGCAAGGCTTTCACTGTGAGACTGAATACTTCCTTAAAGCTGGAGATTGCCTTTTTGCTCTGATGGGAATTAGAAGGACTGACAAATTGGGCAATTCCCACTCTTCAAGGCTGCAGGAAATGGGCAGAGCAAAGAAGCAAGGCACAAGAGATAAAAAAGCTAATGCCAACTGTAGAAGTACCATGCCACAAGTAATGTAAAGTGGCCACCAATGAGGAAAAAGCCATAGAGGAAGACTTTCACCTGCGTGGTGTCGCATGGAGTGTGACATTGTAAAATGCTGGGCTCTCTGCCTGCCAAGCTGTCTACCACAGGCCTTCAAGTGTACACAAATGACTCACGCTGGAGGAATTACCTGTTGTTCTCTGGGTGTGTGTTCCAAGCTACGTGGCTGTCCTGTTACAACACCTGCCTGTCAAAACACGACAGCCGAGCTGCTCTGCTGCAGAAACATCTCATTTGATCAGTCCCAGTCCCTTGGGCTCCTGAAAACAGATGGTTTCTTAGTCTGTTGATTTGATCTCTGCCTGATCTAACTGACTCTTTTGGGGTCCTGCTGGTTGCATTCAGCAAATGCTTTGTGGGTGTGGACTGAGGTTTTACTTGCACAATTAAAGTATTTGTGAGTGTTGGAGGGGGCTGATTTGAACACATAATGACAAGGCACCGTGGAAAGCACTGGCTAAAAGCGCTCGAAGGAACATGAAAACCTAGTTTTAGCTAAGAAGGTCAACACGGCTGTTGTTCTGCTGACTCCTTCTCTTTTCTTGCAGACCCCCAAGGAATTTGGACTCCAGAACATTCATTACCATTGGAGATAAAGTACGTGCAGCAGTTTTTTTTTTTTTTTTTTTTGCTTGCCTTCAGTCTTGCTTGCCCCTTTTATGGCGAGTTTCATGGGTGATACTGTCATGTCTCCTTGTAAAATCAGATGTTGATATTTCAATGCACATTTGAACAACCATGAGAAGGACTGTGCCATCCTTGTGCATCTCAGGGAAGGGCCTTTGAAGGCATGAGATGTCCCTCAGCAAGACCTTCTCCCTGTTGAACCCCGGGCCTCTGCTCTAATGTTTAGAGCAGTGACTACTTGGGACAGATCCTGAAGGGCAGAGCTAAGCTGGCTGGGTGGAAGCAATTTGTAAATTGGTTCCTGAGTTTTGGGTGAAGTGGAAAATCCTATGACCGCTTCTGCCCGGGGGATTATCCTGTTCCTTTTGTCATGAAGGTGGAAATTCCCTGCAAGGGAGTCCTTGGCTCCCAATGTCTGCCCCGCAGTAGGGCCCACGTTGCCAGAAGATGTGGTGGAGGTAGCGGCAGAGGGACCAGGTTTGCATTGCCTCGTTCTGCCAACGAGTTGTTGGTAGCCTCAAGGTCCAACTAGTCCGTGGTGTGCTCAGAGCACTGTCAGGCCTGACCACAGTACTGGGGGGATGTATTTCATCTATACCTCCTTATATCAGATGCATATATCCTTATATAAGATGCACAGGCTGTCCAGGGAGACCTTGGGTCTCCTGAGCTGCTGCTGCCTGTGCTTCCTGGCAGTGGGGATTGCAGGTGAGGTGCAGGCTTTGGTGTCTGGGATGGGGGCCCAGAGGAGCACGTAGGACTGCAGAGCACCCCAGCTGCAAGAGGCGTTCGTGCAGGCACCCCAGTGCTCACTAGCTGCTCTCTCCTGGCTGCAGGCAGTGAGCAATGCTGTCCATAGTGAGTGATCACAAAGCTGCCTGCACAGCGCTGCCCGCGGCCTGGCTCGGAATGGAAAGATCCAGTCCATCCTCACTAAATCAGCGTGACCTCGCTGTGCTCCCCGGCCACCGCAAACAAAATCCCTGTTGTCCTACTGACCTCTGGGACTGTTTTACTGCCGGTGTCCAAAGAGAAGCAGGGCAAAAAGTTGCTTTCTGGCTCTCCTAAGCTATTCCTACTGACCTGATGAAAAATACTGCTAGAAATAGCCACCTCCTCTCTTTTGTTTCATTCTCTTGTTACGGGCTCTCCTGGGGCTGCAGAAGGCTGATTGCAAGTGAGCTAAAAATACTGTCCTGTGCATTGGATCAGCCAATCTCTATCTCTAGCCACTTACTTTGCAGGGTGGGCAGGTGCTCAGCTGATGGGCCCTAGTTCTGGAGCAAGATTTTTGGGCCAGGGGAGATAGGAGGGAAGGAAGAGGAGGAGAGGAAGCTTTGGCCAGACCCGGAAAGCAATCCCACTGCCGGTGTTTGGTGCCGGGGGTATTAATAACTTGGGCAGAGCTGCTCTGCAGCAGCCTGGGGAGCAGCGTGTGCCAAAGGAGAGTGCTGGAGCTTGGGAGAAGCTTGCTGTCCTCGCTGCCTTTGCCGCAGTGTGTTTATCCAAGCGGTTCCCCTGCCAGAGTCGCCCACCATTAAGACACAAGATGCGACTGAGCCTTTACTGCTGCTCAGTCGTGATATGTTGATATCAAGGAAAGTGTCTGCCTGGGAACATCCCTTCTCTGATAAAGACCAACTGGGCTCTGCCTGTTCTGGGGGTTAGCAGAGCTGCCTGATCCAGGTGTTTGGAGCAACACGGTGTGGGATGGAGGAAGAGGGCTTGGGCATAGGCTGGCTTTAGGCCATGGGGCTGGATGATGATCTTGGGTCCCTTAAGTCCTTGCAGGAGGTGTCCTGCATTTCCGTTATTGGCTCGGCCACCCCAGGGCCATGAGGTGAGCGATGCTGGGATGGGACAGTGCCGGTCATGTCGGCGCGTGGCCTCTGTTGCTGGGCAGGGTTCCTGCAGTGTGCTGGGAACTGCCAGCTTCTGGGGAAGCCTTAGGGTAAATTCCAGGAAAAAAAAAAAGAAAACACAATAACCTGGAACAATTGCAGAACATGTGTCCTGAGAAGCACCACCAGATCCTTCCCGGAGGCCCCTGCGGGAGCCGCAAGCCTGTGCTGCACTGGCA